ATACTTCGTGAAGCCCGTTGATTTCCCCGGATTTGCTTGATTCCCCACTGTGAAGGGAATTTGAGAACTTGATGCAACGTGGATGAGACAACATCCATATCATGAATCAATGGTCTTTCCAAGATTATATTATAGGCCATGTCCGCGTCTATTACTTGGAACTTCATATCTGTGATGACTCTTTCTGCAAATGTGGCCAGTATAACTTCCCCTTTGGTAAGAATGCTTGAATTATCAAATCTAGATAAAGACCGTGCCTTTAGTATGACCTTATCATTAGCTTGCATTTAATTTACCACCCTCAGTAAAATGATGTTCACTGAGCTACCTGGGCCAATCAAAACTCATTTTACATTAGTTCATGTACAAGTAAAGATATTACATGTGCATCGTTGTGAGGAATCATCAAGTCGTCCGCGTCTTCATCGTCAAACGTTATACTGTCACCATCCAAGCTTGGCGAACTCACTTTCCGTTAGTGACAGTAACTTTTGATGTCTTTTTTATGGCTGTGTATGTCACTCTATTGACCTCATCTCCTCTGGCTATGACGTTGATTGTTCTCTTTGGTGATGGAGGCTTGGGGGGGGTATTGTTTGTTCTTCATGTATGATTGTCTCCCTTTCTCACTGAACAGATCAGTAAGATAACCTTGCTTCAATAAATGTTCAACCTCTCCTTGTAAAAGCCTGCAATCTTCTGTTCTATGGCCATGATCATTATGAAACTCGCACCAGAAATCCGGGTTCCTTTTATTTGGATCTGATCTCATTTCTTTCGGCTATCGCACCTTATCTCCCATCCCTCTTAGAACAACCGCCAGTTAAGAGGTGCTAATGTTAAATTTATAATCCCCTATTCTTGCTTGAGTATCAGAATCATTGCTTTGGGCATCCTGCTCCTTTTTGAACCTGGATGAAGAACTTGCGTCTTTTTGCCTTGGTCTTGAATCAAATCGTGCATTCTCTTGTTTAGATCGAGAATCTCGCCCCGCGGGTCCCATGTAAGGCTCGTACCTATTTTAACCGGACCTTCTCTCTGATTTTGAGCGTCTCAAACCTGGTCTTTCGTCAACCCTTGACTGTGCAACCGTATCTTCTTCTATCCGCATCTTCGTGTTGTATCGATTGTATACATCATTCCAAGTTGTTATAGGAAATTCTCGCAAAATTTCTTTCGTCCTTCTCGTGGCTTCTAAACTTTTCTCATTCAAATTGCTCGCGAATGCCATATCTGCCCAGTTATCAGGTACTCGCGGCAGCATCATCCTCTCTCATTGGAATCTATCTACGAATTCCCTGAGCAATTTTGTACTCCCTTGTTTAACTTTGAAGATGTCTTCCATCCTTTTCTCAATTTTTTGAGCCATCGAATGTGCTTTTATAAATGAATTTGCAAGCTCAGCAAAAGAATCAATAAAATTTTCAGATAAGAGAGAATACCATGTTAACGCTCATTTTGTTAAAGTTTCGCCAAACTTTTTAACCAAAACTGATTCAATTTCCTGCTCGGTTAAATCGTTGCCTTTCACGCCGGTAGTGAATGCGGTTACGTGATCTCGGGGGTCAGGCGTCCCATTATATTGGGGAATATCATGCATTTTAAACCTTTTGGGAATCGGCAAGGGTGATGCACTTGGCTTCCAGGGTTGTTGTGAATACATGTCAATATCCACACTTTTGATCACGGGAGGTACGCTAGGTATTTGCTATATACGCTCGTTTTGCTCCTTCAGTTATTTCTGCTAAGTTAGTACTAAACTTTGTAAACTATAATTATTTGGTGTACTCGATCCTCCATCGCGAGATTCATTGGAAATTTCTCCACTTCCAGAGTTATCAAGTCTCGAACGAAGGTTCTCCAAAGTTGTTGTATTAACTGGTGAAGGTGTTTGTGCTACGTTGGGTAATCCTCTAACAAAAGCCTGCAGTGCATCGTTCACATGTTCTGCAATCAATTGTTTCAGAGCATCCTACTCAACGGTTTGATCGCTTCCAAGTTGACCATCAGTGCACAAAGCAGACCTTTCAGGTGAACTTTCACGGGGATTGCCGAGGTGATCCCGTGGGTGTGTGATGTGGTGGAGTTTCACCTTGTTGATTCTGCTGGTTGTTCTCGTTAGCGGTTGACATTGTTGGTCGTTAAGAATGAAGTTTGAAAAGTGAACAGATTATCAGATTCACTGTAATAGAACCAATATATTTAACCCAAAAATAGATTTCTCGGTCAAAGTCAATATCAAGAAGAAATCAGGTTACTGATAACCAAGATTTACTTCACTTTCTCAATAATTTAAAGAATAAAACAAATAATGAAAAATAATTGGCAATGAAAGAAAATATGAAATGGATTGATAATCACTCCTAGAATTGCGGTTAGAACCTTATAAAGTAAAGAATAATTGTGTATATTTCAATAATCATCTGATGCCACTACAAATGAGGACTAGGCACTTATATAGGAGTATACCATTATAACGGGGTTTTTTACTTAATTCGGGCTTGTTAATGGTATTGATTGCCTTGATTATCCATTATTATATATAATTGTAACAGAAGCATTTATGACTAATGATTTTTCGTGACCACAATTAATGTCGATTTTTCTTCCTTATTTATAATAGATCTGTGCACCTTCCTTCTTTAATGGACTTTATACATTCCGCTTCTATTTCTTCTCTCCCAGCTGTCAGTGTCGGTTCCTTTCCCATAGAAATTCGGGGGGAGGGGGGGTGTATCTCCCGTACCTTCTTGAATTCTTTAACTCATCTAATTAGAAATGCCACATGTTACTTTGTTGATGGTCCACGTGCCATGCCCCTGTCACCTTGATGATAGCCCATATGCCATGCCTTTTTTCCACCAATACACTCCCCATTTTCTAAAGGTCTTTCTCCTAAATAGTAACCATGTTATGCCTTACATTATCTAATTTATTGCGAAGTCTTTGAGACTTCGGTCTTTAGTTAAATGAGAATCGTGTTATACTACCTAATTAAAACTCATAAGAACAATATCATGTCATGTTAAAAATCAAGAAATAAGGTAATTTGACTGCCGTCTATAAGTTCATTAAAAATAAGATATACAAATAATATCAAGTTGGATTGACACCATTAATTTTGAATTTTCTAAAGAATACCGGAGTTTGAAATTTAAAGTGATACTTTTTTAGCTTGGATATTCAGAGATTGACTTCTTTAGATTAACTCTAGGAAACATAATTAGAGGAATCTATTGTATGATAATTAGTAGTTACAAAATGAGATTTACATAATTTTATTTCAAAACTTTATATTTTTCTAATGCTCCTTCTGAATCTTTCTTAATAACCCAAATGGTGAATTAACGTATGAATTAACTCAAATATATGTCGTTATAAATATTTTCTTTCTCATATAGAAGAGAAATAATATATAAATTAGTATTGAATTCTTGATCTTTTCGTATATTCAGTAACTCTTTAAATAATCGCGCAAAGCGCAAATATATCCACTAATTATTCTATAGGAGTACTTAATGTACATGGGATGGGCTCTTTTGGTAAAGGGTTAAACCTTTTTAAGTGGGTAATATCAAGCAGTGTTTTAAAAGGCGTTTCTGGGACTCGCCCCAGGGCAGGGCACTATCAAAACGCCTTGAGACTCATGTGTGAGTTTTAGTTCTGTGAGGCTTACGCCCCCAAGCGCCCGACGGTGCGCCCTAAACACGCCTAATGCTCAATGCTTGGGACTCGCCCAACAGCTCCTATGCAAATCATGTGTTGAATTCACTAATTTGTACCGTTAACTCTCAAATTTTTTTAACAAATGAATGATTAAAGTTCTTTTTATCTATAGAAATATGAAAATTGTGAATAACTCAAATAACGAACCATATTATTGCATATTTACTAATTGAGAATATCGTGAGGGTGAATATCATTTGAATATTTTTTCTAAAAATAGATAAATAAAATTTATATCTTTACTTGATAGATCTTCATATCTTAGTTCTATGTCTCTCAAAATTATCATACATTTCTTATTTTATTATTTAAAAATAATTTTATATTTACTCATGAAGGAGTAATATTTTAAATTACAGTATTGATAAAATTTATTGTGTATTTATTTTTAAAGAGGTAAAATATGCAGTTTGATAATATTTTTTAAGAAATTATAATTTTTAATTGTTTGAAAGTTAAGAGGTTGGAGTTAATTTATATTTCACAGTAACTTTAAAAATATTGTATTATTTGTACTTGTAAAACATGCTAAATATTTTATTTTATATGAGTTTTTTAAATTCTCTTGAATTTTTAATGCATCTTTTATATTTTATTGTATTATAATGCTATATTATTAATTCATAAATTTAAAAAATTAAAGATCCGTGGGGCTTAGCCCCATGTCTCGAGGCTTTCGCCTCATCCCGTATTAAGAAAAACGTCCCGCCTAGCGCCTTCGCCTTTTAAAGCACTGATATCAAGGACTATTTGTTTTCAATGTTAAATATTAAGGACCAAAATAGTCATATCCTATACATTAAGGACCATTTGGAACTTTTTCTCACAATTGTAATATCAAAGATTTTACTCTAAGAAAAAAAAAACTTTGTGGGCGTTTCGACATAAGAATTGTAAAATTCCAAAAAAAGTGAAAAAAAATTTCAAGTGATATTTGAAAATTAGAGTTGTGTTTGGACATGAATATAATTTTGGGTTATTTTTGAAGTTTTGTGAGTGATCTGAGTGAAAATTTTGAAAAATAACTTTTTGGAGTTTTTCAAATTTTTCAAAAATTTTAAAATGCATATTCAAGTGAAAATTGAAAATTTTATGACCAAACGCTGATTTCGAAAAAAATAAAAAAAAAATAAAAATTTTGTTATGTCCAAACGGGCTTAAATTATGTGACAATTTTCATAATAGAAGGGACCAAAGAAAAATATCATGCAACAAAGGGCCGTAGATAAAATTTTCATATTCTTGAAATTACAAATCAATTTTTAGGAAAATTAGATACCTTCATACAAAAATCCAAGGACACTCAAGCAGTAACGCTTCTGTGGAAGGCAGGAGCAGTCAGCACGAATAACTGTGTGTGTGTGAGAAAGAAGTTCGCTCCCTTTTCTGTGAAAATGGGAAGATGTCTTCTTTCATCCACAGTTATTCCTCCTTTGAGAACTCTTCTTCCTTCTGATCCCCCTAAACTTGCATTCCCCAAGAATTTTAGCACACATTCAGCGATTTTTCATTACGGGGTTTGTACAACTGGAGCCAAAACAAGTGGAGCATTTTGTACAAAGGCTACTTTATCTGAGGTGGGTAACAACAAGAAAGTGTACTCAAAGATTGGTGCTGACTCAACTGGAAGTATTCCCTCTAACGAGCTCCTCCAAGTAGTTGAAGCTGCTGCCAAGACTGGTGCTCAGGTTTCCCCCTTAATTAATGGTTTTATTTCTATGTTCTTGGCAAATTTCTGCTTAAAGATTTGATATTTGGGTTATTCTATGTTAGGATCGGGAACCCGGGTAGTGCGTAATTTAGCCAAACAACGGTATAATGGTAATAACAAAGACAATGTAAGTTGATAACAAAGACAATGTAAGTTGATAACAACGACAATTAAAGTAGATAAAGAAGACACAAATTTAATGTGGTTCGGTCAAAGTGACCTACGTCCACAATCAGAGAGGGGCAATTTACTATAACAATAAGAGTACAAAAGAGAGTACAAAATTAGAGTAAACACTCTAATTAATCCCAAATACCCTAAGAGAATAACCTCACAAGATCACTCCAAAGAAAGTGTTCACACTAGTGCTTCCCAACACTTAACTCTCATACAAAACACTCTTAATAAAGGAAGAAAGGAAGAAACAAGAATTGAAGACAAGTCTTGTTGGTGTGTCTAAAATGAACTAATGNTCAGAGAGGGGCAATTTACTATAACAATAAGAGTACAAAAGAGAGTACAAAATTAGAGTAAACACTCTAATTAATCCCAAATACCCTAAGAGAATAACCTCACAAGATCACTCCAAAGAAAGTGTTCACACTAGTGCTTCCCAACACTTAACTCTCATACAAAACACTCTTAATAAAGGAAGAAAGGAAGAAACA